ATTCCTGCTTAGAGCTGAGTGATAGTCCGTTGTCTGGACGGACCACGTTTTGTTTATCCCTTCGTCAGTTGATGGACAGGCGGGTCATTTGGGGGTGTGCAGGAGAGAGGAGGGGTTCATTGCAGATCTCTGCCTGTGTCACTGACGGCGTGGTTGTGCTGCTTACCGTAAGGTGGGGTGTCATGGAACACGGAGCAGGTTTGAGGAGGGACGGCTGTCGGACGTGGGAGTAGTGGAGCCAGAAGGGACGTCCAGGCCGGCAAAGCCCGGCCGCTCTCGGAACCTGCCGACTCAGCCACGGGCGGACGCTGAGGCCGGACGGAGATGCCTCCGAGTCCAGGAGGCCCCTCCGTTCTTGTGCCCGAGGACCCCTTGCCCCTCTGGTATCTGAGACACAGGAAGAATACAAGTAGGAGAACACCCTGCCTTTACCTTTGCTGGGGTTCGCAAAGCATCTCAGTGGCGTCAGGGGAGGACATGTCCTTGCAGGTGGGGTGGGTAGGATTCTAAACTTGCCGTCACCACCCTCTGCCCGTGTAGACGACCCTCACCCGCCGTGGTCGGATCACCTGGTGGTGAAACCATGCCAACCACTTGTCCACTCCCCTGGGAGAGAATCTAGGGGTGTGTGTAGTGCCCCCCGTGGCCAGCCCAGGAATGCTCTGTAATATCTGGGGGGACGGGGGGGGCGCCCCCCGGGCCCCCAGCACCCAAGCCCTCCTTTCCCGAGCGCCCCGCCGGAGCCCCTCCCCGAACCTGCCCTCTGTGGGGAGAGCCACTGCCTTCCGGGGTGAGTGCCCCCGTGGCTAATCCACTGGGGGTGAGGGCGTGGAGAAAGGCCTGGCCCTTGGCCCTTGCTTCAGCGTGGGGCAGCCCTGGAGGGCGTCCTGGGGCAGAGCCGCCCTGGGAGGAGCTGAGCCTCTGCTGTGACCGCTCCACCACTGCCCCCCTCTGCAGCCGGCCCTGCTCCCCCCCTCCCCCGCCCCTGCAGGTGTGGGTCTCCACAGTTCCCCCCGGGGTGAGTTCCTTGTGCACAGCCCAGAGATCTCAGGGTCTGTTTCCCTAGGAACAGGCCTCTGACAATAGCGGGTCCTCAGTTTCAGTGTCTGACAGGCCAGAGGGAAGCCTTGCTGAGATCCCAGCCCCGTCCCTCCGGCTCAGGCTGAGCCCCGCAAGACAGTCCCTCCCGAGTGGTCTCTGCTGCCACCTGCCTTTGCTGGTTGTCAGAGCATCAGGGATGGCTTTAAGGGGCCCCTTTCCTGGGCTCCCAGGGAATTCATCTGACATATTTGTGGTGCAGTTCTGCACGGCCCATTTCTAGAGAAAGTTGGCTTCTGAAGAGGAGAGGGGTGCTTGGAACACGTGAGTGATTTCTCACTTTAAAGGGAAGCGTTGGAAAGAAACCACGTCACCGGGTGTGTGAGCGCCGAGTGCGGTTCTTGGACTAGAGGAGCTGGGCTCAGGGGAACTGGCTGGGTGCGGGGGCAGCTGGAAGCCGACAGTCGTCAGGGGCAGGCTGCTGGTCTGAGCCACTGAACAGACTGTTCTTTTCAAATGATTTAATTTTTCTCTCCATTAGTTTACTCTGCGAGAGGAATATAACAGTATCTCCCTGTTACTACCCAGCCCCTGGGGGAAGAGTTGTGAAGCTACTTAGGGCTTTTCTTTTTCTTCTTTTAAATAAAAGAGCTTTCCAGAATACGTGGCTAAACTTGGGAGAATTATCCCAAAATCAAGAAGGAAGAGCGATGTGTGTAATTTGGAAGAGTGCACTCACTGGCTTATGGGTTGGCTGGCCTCAGCCGCGCTCGGCACACATCACAGGGGCCCCTCCCCGCCGCTGAGCTTACACTGGTGCCTGTGCTCATGACCCCAACACGGGGGACTTAACGGGAGGCCAGAGCCGCTGAGAGGCCGGCAGCCTCTGCTGCACGCAGAGACCCTCCTCAGGCCCTCGGCCTTGCCTCACCTGGTCACATCCTCCCGTTTTAGTCCCAGCCAAGTAATGGGCGTGTTTCTAGACCCCAGGGGAGCAGCCCTCAGCCTGAGGGTTCCATGATGTGGAGCCCAGTCACTCTGCAGAAGAAAGGCCAGGTCTGACTCGGGATGCAAGACTCACAGGTGCCCTCCGTGGCTGCTTTTTGTTTTGTTTCGTTTTGTTTGCGGTACGCGGGCCTCTCACTGCTGTGGCCTCTCCCGTTGCGGAGCACAGGCTCCGGACGCGCAGGCTCAGCGGCCATGGCTCACGGGCCCAGCCGCTCCGCGGCATGTGGGATCTTCCCGGACCGGGGCACGAACCTGTGTCCCCGGTATTGGCAGGCTGACTCTCAACCACTGCGCCACCAGGGAAGCCCTGTGGCTGCTTTTTAAAGGCTGCCAGACGTCAGCCTTCTAGTAGCCAAGGTGTAGTGGTTCTTTCTCCTTAAGAGTTGCCTTCCGTCTATTAAAGTAGCTATTATAGAACATAAGACCTCTGGTCTTTTCCATGTGTTGTAATTTTCTTGGACCTGTATTATCATTTAACGTGCATACACGAGGACAGAGAGAAATAATAGTTTTCTTCGCATGCCTACCATGTGCCAGGCACTGTGATAAACTTGTGAAGTGCACTGTTTCATTTAATTGTTCAGATGAGGAAACTGAGGCAGGGAGCTGGAAGGATACAGGGCTTGGTCTGGCAGAACTGGGATTTAAACTCTGCAGTCTGGCTCCGGGCCTGCAGCCTCCGCCCCTTGGATGTCACACAGCAGCCTTCAGGCTCCTGACCCCCCTGCAACGATGGGCATGGCCCTCCAGAGCCACCCTTTCTCACCATCACTCTCCCCCTTACCTTGCCCACACCGGTGCCCTCTCTCTCTCTCTCTCTCTCTCTCTCTGCTCCTCCCTTCTTCCCTTCCTTCCTTAGTTATCCTTTGTCACAACCTCCCAGTTGGAAACCAGTGCAATACTGCCCTCCAGTGTTTGTTTATTCATTCATCAACTGCTCATTAGATGCCTCCTATGGGTCTGACGGTGTTGGCACCAGGGATAGATACACCGGGGAAGACTGCAGACGGGCTCTGTCCCCACAGAGCTTACAGCCCACACGTTTTGAACATTAAATGCAATTGGAAAAAAATTGTATCATATATGGAGACCCCCCCCTCCCAAATCTAGTAAGAAATCTGTTAGGTATCAAGCTTATGTTACCTACCAAATATATAGTTATTTAATAACAGAGAACTACAGAAACAGGGTATAGTTCATAATAATAAAATGATTAGTATATTCAGACAATAGAACACTATGCAGCATCTAAAGTAGTGACTTAGGGAATCCCCTGGCGGTCCAGTGGTTAGCACTTGGCGCTTTCATGGACGAGGGGTCCGGGTTCAATCCCTGGTTGGGGAACTAAGATCCCACAAGCCTTGTGGCACGGCCAAAAATAAATAAATAAAATAAAGCTTTCCTTAAAAAAAAAAGTACTGACCAGAGCAGTGTGTATCATCATGAATACATCTCATAAACATAGTTGAAAACAAGTTACAGAAGTGTAATCAGCATAGCATATAACAGGACACAGTATAATATAGGACAAGAGCATCTATCCGTAGGATACAATGCAGTATAATACAGTGCCCTGAAAAAGCTTCATACAGTGTAATATCATTTGTGTAAAAATTTAAAAACATCCAGAACAGGGGCTTCCCTGGTGGCGCAGTGGTTGAGAGTCCGCCTGCCGATGCAGGGGACGCGGGTTCGTGCCCCGGTCCGGGAGGATCCCACATGCCGCGGAGCGGCTGGGCCCGTGAGCTGTGGCCGCTGGGCCTGCGCGTCCGGAGCCTGTGCTCCGCAACGGGAGAGGCCACAACGGTGAGAGGCCCGCGTACCGCAAAAAAAAACAAAAAACAAACAAACAAAAAAACCAAAAAAAAACCCATCCAGAACAATACTGTGTATTATCTTGGTCACGTCCACATATAGTAAACCTGAAAAAACATTTGAGGAAAAACCACTTGCCAATTTTTGGACACTCTCTGGTGTGGGAAGGAAGGTTGAGGCTTTAACAAACGTTAAAGATTTCTCAGACGTGGCAACATTTAACCATTGGTTCATCTGTTTTGGTGCCTGGTTACCGTCACCTTTGGTGCTTTTCTGTATATTGAGAACATTCACCGATTAAACTTGAACAGGTGAAATGGGCGTGTTGTGCGCTTCTCTGTGTCTGGCGTGTGCACATTTCTGGCATTGCTGTCACAGGGATGTTCCTCTAAAGAAACACTGTAGCTACAGAGGTTTGGGGGGTGTGTGGGGGGGTGTCAGCCTCCTGGGGCCCCAACAGGGGGCGCGGCGGCATAGCAGACGCGAGGCGGCTGGGCAGCACCGCGGAAGGGGCAGGAAGGAAGGGTATTTAATAAGCACGTGCAGCTTTCTGTAGGCTGTAGGAAGGGGCCCAGAATTCCCCCGTTTGGCCAATTAACATCCACCATGTTCCTCTGCACATCTGTTGCCTTGGCCGTTTCCGAGGCTCAGGATACAGAGATGGTGCCGGACACACACGTGCCCAGAGCTTCCTTTGCCGTTGCATCGATGGGTCTGATGCTGATGTACCGGCAGCTTTTTCCTGTCCAGGTGACCAGGGAACCTTCCTTCTCTTCCAGGTGGAAAAGGATTATTCTTACTTGAAGGAGATATGCGATCATCAGGCAGAACAGCTGAGCAGAACCAGCCTCAAGCTGCAGGAGAAAGCGTCGGAGAGTGACGCGGAGATTAAAGACATGAAGGAGACCATCTTCGAGCTGGAGGACCAGGTGGAGCAGCATCGAGCCGTCAAGTTACACAACAAGCAGCTCATCAGTGAGCTGGAGAGTAAGTGGAACCAAGCCCCGGGCCGCGTGGGTCAGGAGGGCGGGGAGCGTGCTGGTGAGAGGTCTTCCCCGGGCGTGTGCTGTGGTCTCCCCGGAAGAACGGCAGTTAAAAGAGACAGAATTGTCAGTCTCCTCGACTGAGCTGCGAAGCAGGTGATACAGAAGAATGTGGATCGTGGGCAGACGCACCGCGTGTGAGCTGCTGCTGACCACACAGCAGGTGCCAGCAGGTGTTGCCATTGGGCTCTGATGGATAGAAGGGTAGTGGGCAGGGGGTCGGACCGATTCGGACGGCGTGTGCTCTTGGCCTCAGGAGAAAACAGTTCCAGCATGGGCCCCATGGATGGTTGGTATCACATGACTTACAGATGTTACCCACTACTTACTCAAGAGGCACCAGCATATGCCTTACCTGTGAACCGGTTGCTTGTTTTGAATAGGGAGGGATGTTTGTCAGAGATGAGTTAAACATTGCCTTCCTTGTCCAAATAAGCCTTATCAAATGAGCGCATCTAATGTGTTTTCCCTTCGTAACAAAAGAATTGGTGTGCAGAGCTTTTAGTGGCACCGGCCTTACTGGCAATAGCACGGCTGGTTGCCTGAAAAGTCCCCCAACGGGTACAGCCCATCCTGATTATTGGAGGAGCCCTTATTTTCGAATTCACCTGCTCGCCCAGACTGACTTGTAACCCCCAAAACCAGTACTCACAGTGCTCCCACTGCCGCCGGCGCCGGTGCAGAGCTGCGGAAAGCTTGAGGCTCCCGACGTGCAAAACGTCGGGACCAGAGGCCCATGGGAATGTAACCCGTCTTTGCCGCGGGAGCTGATCCCATGTGCCTGGCGACTGTACGTACCTGCCTCGACTGTGGCACCTGGCCGTGTAGTCTACGCCTCGCTCTGGTGGTCAGTGTCACAGCTACTCCGTGTGCAATGTGGGGGTGACGACAGGACACTCAGCATCACTGTCACCCAGGCTCTTCTCAGCGGTCACACCTGAGAGTACAGCAGAACACCTGACGCCGGACGGGACAAGTGCAGGGCCAAACAGGGGGAGACCTGTTTCGTTTGTATTTTGTTTGTTTTTGCCTCAGTGATTTATTGTTGTCGAGAATTCGGTCATACTGTCCCCAAATCCTAAAAAGTCAGCACAGACACACCAAGAAAGCAGCATGTAATTACTGTCCGGAGCACATGTCAGGCCCACTTCCTCTGGTTATGTCATAATGTGTACAAGACTGAAAAGAACAGTGACAGACCTGCATCTTTTGAGAAGCCGTTAACGTCTGTTGGGGACGTTAGGGTATTGATAGGTGTCTTTTCGAACACGAAAATCCACCTCGAGATGAACCGCTCCTCCCCCCTTAAGACCCTTCAGAGGAATGGACAGAAAGATAAAAAGAAGTTACGGAGCGCTGTCCTTTTCTGCACCATTGACCCCAGACACAAACCCTCAGGCCCCACGTGTGAACCTGAACTGCTGGGGTAGAACCTGACCATGTGTGGGTTTTTTGAAGCTTTTCAGGTAGTTCCGGTTCGTATCCTTAATAGACAAGGACGGCTTTGGAGGGACCGTGAGGACCCACTGGAGAACTGACATTACGTGTAACGGATGCAATCAGATTTAAACTGAACCACTCTTGACAGCAACGGGGAGAGAACTAGAGACAGAGAGGGACTGAGGATTTATTTTTTTTTTAGTTTCTAATTCAATTTTATTTTATTATTTTTTTATAGAAGTAGAGTTGATGTAGAATATTGTGTAAGTTACGGGTGTGTAAGACAGTGATTCAGAATTTTTGAAGCGTTACTCCATTTATAGTTATTCTAAAATATTGGCTGTATTTCCCGTGTTGTAAAATATATCCTTGTAGCTTATTTTATACCTAATAGTTTGTACCTCTTAATCCCCACCCCCTATATTGCCCCCGCTTTCCTCTCCCCACTGGTAACCGCTAGTTGGTTCTCTATGTCCGCAAGTCTGCGTCTTTTTTGTTGTATTTACTGGTTTGTTGTATTCTTTTTTTTTTTTTTTTTTTTGCGGTACGCGGCCTCTCACTGTTGTGGCCTCTCCTGCTGCGGAGCACAGGCTCCGGATGAGCAGGCTCAGCGGCCATGGCTCACGGGCCCAGCCACTCCGCAGCATGTGGGATCTTCCCGGACTGGGGCACGAACCTGTGTCCCCTGCATCGGCAGGTGGACTCTCAACCACTGCGCCACCAGGGAAGCCCTGGTTTGTTGTATTCTTTAGATTCCACGTATAAGTGAGATCATAGAGTATTTGTCTTTCTCATTCTGACTTATTTCACTGAGCATAACACCCTCCAAGTAAGATGTTCTTTACTAAGGAAAGGAAGTCCACTCCCCAGTGGAGCTGTTGACATACACCCGCCAGACCCTCGTCACCCTGGGAGATTCTGAGTCTGTGCAGAGTCTGGGGCTTGAACATCTCCTTTGGAAATCTTCCCAAGTGATTCAGAGTTTTAACTGCAGTTAAGTCCCATGGCTGTAGAAACTGACCTAAAAGTCACGGCGGTAATAACCAGCCATATCCGCTGTTACGCAAAAGCCCTCCCTCCACCTCCCGGTGATGAAGGACGTTCAGGATGCCGCGTGCACTTCCAGGGAGGCTGAGAGTAAGTGTGTGAGTGTGAGCCGCTGTTTGCCCTCTTCCTGGAGCTCTGTGAGGCCGTGCCCTAACCTCACACCGCCGCTCTCCCGAATCATCCCACTGTCTCTTGGAGGAGCCACCACCTCTGGCTCCCGGGCTCAGGACGCTGAGATGGGGCCCCGGCAGGCAGAAGGGGTGGGCTTCAAAGCCTGTTGCAGGATCTGGGTCTGCTCTGCTTCTGAGCTTAGCTTCTCCCCAGAGTCTCGAGGCTTTTCCAACTCCGTCTGCCTGTTCATTTCCAGGCAATGTGATGAAACTGGAGGAACAGAAGTCTGACCTGGAGAGGCAGCTGAAGACCCTGACGAAGCAGATAAAGGTGAGACGCGGTCACGGCAGGGGTGGGACGCCCTCCATCATTTTACTGGAAGTGTCCCCGTTAGCATAGGTTTGGACACCTTTGAGAGGTACCCTGATGACTCTCTGGCCCGCTGTGTATAGCAGGTGTGTGGGGCCCGGGCCCTGGAACCACGAGCGGTGTGGCTAGGAGGGAAGTTCGGGAGGCCTGGGTTTCAGGACGGGTGCCTGGGCGCGGTCTGCCATGGGCGCGGCCTGCGGCTCTTCCAGGATGAGACGGAGGAGTGGCGGCGCTTCCAGGCTGACCTGCAGACAGCGGTGGTGGTGGCCAACGACATCAAGTGCGAGGCCCAGCAGGAGCTGCGCGCTGTCAGGCGGAGGCTGCTGGAGGAGGAGGAGAAGAACGCCCGGCTGCAGGAGGCGCTGGGGGGCGCGCGGGCCCGCGGCAGGTGGGTCGCGCCGCACGCGCCCGGGCCGGGCCGCCGGCATCCACGCACGTGATGCTGCGCGTCTGACCCGGGCCCTCCCCTGCCCTCCAGGTCCCTCTGCCCCACCCCCGGCCAGGGAAGAACTAACCCCAAGGCCAGGGAAGAACTAACCCACGGCCAGGGAAGAACTAGCCACACGGCCAGGGAAGAACTAGCCACACGGCCAGGGAAGAACTAACCCCACGGCCAGGGAATAACTAGCCACACGGCCAGGGAATAACTAGCCACACGGCCAGGGAAGAACTAGCCACACGGCCAGGGAAGAACTAGCCCCACGGCCAGGGAAGAACTAGCCACACGGCCAGGGAAGAACTAGCCCCACGGCCAGGGAAGAACTAGCCACACGGCCAGGGAAGAACTAGCCCCACGGCCAGGGAAGAACTAGCCACACGGCCAGGGAAGAACTAGCCCCACGGCCAGGGAAGAACTAGCCACACGGCCAGGGAAGAACTAGCCCCACGGCCAGGGAAGAACTAGCCACACGGCCAGGGAAGAACTAGCCCCACGGCCAGGGAAGAACTAGCCACACGGCCAGGGAAGAACTAGCCCCACGGCCAGGGAAGAACTAGCCACACGGCCAGGGAAGAACTAGCCCCACGGCCAGGGAAGAACTAGCCACACGGCCAGGGAAGAACTAGCCCCACGGCCAGGGAAGAACTAGCCACACGGCCAGGGAAGAACTAGCCCCACGGCCAGGGAAGAACTAGCCACACGGCCAGGGAAGAACTAGCCCCACGGCCAGGGAAGAACTAGCCACACGGCCAGGGAAGAACTAGCCCCACGGCCAGGGAAGAACTAGCCACACGGCCAGGGAATAACTAACCACAAGGCCAGGGAATAACTAACCCCCGGCCAGGGAATAACTAGCCACACGGCCAGGGAATAACTAACCACAAGGCCAGGGAATAACTAACCCCCGGCCAGGGAATAACTAGCCACAAGGCCAGGGAATAACTAGCCACAAGGCCAGGGAATAACTAGCCACACGGCCAGGGAATAACTAGCCACACGGCCAGGGAATAACTAGCCACACGGCCAGGGAATAACTAACCACACGGCCAGGGAATAACTAACCCCCGGCCAGGGAATAACTAACCACACGGCCAGGGAATAACTAACCCCCGGCCAGGGAATAACTAACCACAAGGCCAGGGAATAACTAACCCGTGACCAGGGAAAAACTAACCCCAAGGCCAAGGAATAACTAACCCCACGGCCAGGGAATAACTAACCCCAAGGCCAGGGAATAACTAACCCCACGGCCAGGGAATAACTAACTCCACGGCCAGGGTATAACTACCCTCACGGCCAGGGTATAACGAACCCCACGGCCAGGGCATAACTAGCTCCATGGTAGAAATATTCTGCCCAACACCATCACCACCATTCCCGGTGGTGAGAAAGCTCGTCACTCGAGGGGACACAGTTTTAGCCAAGTCTCCTCTCCTTGGAGGAGACGATGCTCTTACATCTCATTGTTGGTCCAGGCAACTCGTGTCGGTCACCCTCACCCAATGGGAGAAACTTGACCGCTTCCTGGGGCCTGGCCGCCAGGTGGAGGCCTCACCGTCCTGGCCCAGGACCTGCTTCTGTATTAGCAGCCCCCGTGGGCTCCCTGCAGAAGACCTTGAAATAAGCCACTTTATTAAAAAGGGTAAGCGTGGAGAACATATGTCCGGCTGATACGTGATTCCCTTCTGCTCTCGAGGGGATCATTACAGTCCATTACCCAAGCAGGCCCTTCTTGACAGCGAGCTTTCAGAATAAGCTGTTCCAAAAGTGAGCCCAGAGTGGGTTATTGTTTAAAATTTAAATGGTTTACAAACAAGAGTATCAACAGTATTTTAGGCTTCAGCTCATGCAGCGCCATCTTTTTCCCAATCAGGAATAGATGTCCTTGACGTTGAGGTTCTTGGTTATTAGAAGTTTTTTTGAATTTTTGGATTTCTCTCTACATAAAATGTAGTAGAATTTAAAAATCAGATTTATTAAATTCTGGATGCAGATTTGAACAGTTTGCCCTTTTTACCTGTTTTCCAGGGTTGACAGGGGCTGGATTCCGAGCCTCTGGATCTGATATAGTATCATGAACTTCACAGCAGTGGAAGGAGTAGATTTCTGCTCAGAATTCTCTTTTGATTCTCTTACCAAACTTGCTTTAATCAATCTGGCGGCCCTTTGTTTATAAAAATCAAGATCATAATTTTATAGTCACACCTATACCCTCTGGCCACCAAAAGCACGTGAATTTTAAGGGAGAAGCAGAATAGGAAAACTAGATTTCATAGTGTTCCCTATTGAAATGATTGTGAGGTCATTCTGGTTTGCTTTGGTGTCTGCTTTTGTATATTTGTCCATGCGTCTTGCTTTTCTATTGTGTGTCGTTGGAAGAGGAACCACGTAACCTGCATTGCTTCATATATACGTGAATTTACAGATAAATTTACAGATAAAAGATAAAAGACAAGCCTTGAGTTTAAGAGGTGGCCCTAAATAAGTTATTGTATGGGATGCTGCATTTCTTACTTAGGTTCTAAGATACAGGTCAGATTATACAACTCGAACCCTGATACCATAGGAAATCTGCGTGCGTCTTGACAATTTAGGGCCCCATGTACTACACCCAACATTTTCAAACTTAGGGTCACTTTTTTTTTTCAAACACAGTATGTTTCTCTTTTGATTTTCCAGTGATTTGCAAATCTACCTCCTAATTCCAGCAGTTTAATCCCTTATCACAAAATGTTTCAAAATTCGAGAACTGACAGCAGTTCAGAACGTGGCGTGCTGCTGAAACCCTGCAGGCGTCCGTGGTTTTCTTCGCTGTCACTGCCCTTCAGAGTGGTTTCTTATCTGATTTTGCGCTGCCCCGGCTAGCTGCCCCTTCTAAAGCATTGGCTGTTGGAAAGTTACTTGCGGGGCTTCCCTGGTGGCGCAGTGGTTGGGAGTCCGCCTGCCGATGCAGGGG